GATTTTATTTTGATATATTTATCTAATTATCTAAAAAATCTTTTAAAATTATATAAAAATTAATAATTTGAAATCTACATAGAGATATACCTAGAGAGGAGATGAGGAAGTGGGGAAGTGAAACCATTCAACATAACATGAAATATTTAACATAACAAACCATAAAATCATATCGAAAAAATAGAATTGAAACAAAGAGATATACCTAGAGAGGAGATGAAGAAGTCGATGGCGATGCAAATCGACGTTGAAATCGTTAGACCCACAACGACGAATTTGGAAAAGTAATGTTCTGAGTTCTGAGTGAGAATGAAAAAAAGAATTCGTAACGGAGAGAGATCGAGAGAGACGCAATATAGGAAGAATAAAAAAAAGAGGTGAAGAAGTTAAAGTATGAAATCGTAATTTTATTAATATCAGTTCATGAGATGACCGAGCTGGTTCGGTTGGGTTTGGGTTCGCAATGAATTGATTCGTTCAACCCAATTTTTTTTGTTGTCTTATATTTTTCCAACTCAATTCGACAGAAAATGAGCCAACCGCGAACTGATTCACTAATCTAGCTCATTTTGACATAACTGGTACGAAAGACTTGATCGTTCATTTTTAGGGTGCATTATTGTATATATGTGTGTATATTGTTATAGTGCTTCTTTCGCGTAAATTCAAATTGTACAGTTTTATATTAATGCAGTCACCATTTAAACTTTTTGATATATAAATAGTCCTAATATTTTCTAATCCCGAATACAGGAGGAAACATCCGAATTTATGGATAATTATAATTAATATATAAAAAATTTATGAACTAATATAACCTAAAGTTTTGTGTCTACCCATGAACTGTGAAGAAAAAGGCTCAGTCTAGAGGTGGACACGGGCGCCCGGACTTTTTAAGGTGTCTTTATCTCGGCTTCAATCTCGTTGGGTTTTCAATTGCAATGTCTCAATCTCTATCTCACGAAATCCGGATACCCGAATTTTGATACCCGAATTTTGGGTATCCGTGACACGAGACCGGATACCCATGCATGTAACCCTATTTATTTTGTTGTTCGAAATATTGAATTACATTTTTAAAAAAGAACAAATTTAAAACTTAAATCCCTGTAAAATAACCTTTCTTTCTATTAGACTATTGACACACACAAAAAAAGGAGCAATTTTTTTTTTTTTGGTAAAGGTAAATATATATTAACTTCAAAATATGTTGTACAGTAACGATTGGTGTGAGAACATCAAAACACCCAATCCCAAGATGCAGTAATCAGACCCATATGAGAGAATACAAAATCTTGAATCAACTACATTCAAAGTATCGAAACCAAATAGTTAGCAACGAATCGTGTGCGTTCATGTCCATGCTTGAGCCTCTGAGCGAAGAAAGCCGCCTTCGTGTTGTAGATAGAATATCCTTAAGGATAATGTCCGCCGGTTTGGACTGAGTGTCGTGAAGCCTAGTGTTTCGTTCCCTTCATATTAGGTATATAGCCGCTTGTAGCAGTAGTTTGACCATGAGCCTAATCGTCGGGTCATTCGAACATCGGTTTGCCCATATGAGAACTTCTTGCAATGATGATACCAAACAGTCCGAGAGAGGGCATGAAACCAGCAAAGAGGTCCAAATCCCATTTGAAAAATCAGAGCCAAAGAAAATATGATCTGTAGTTTCAATTTTCGACCCACAAAGTAAGCAATCAGGGGGTGTATTTAACCCCCACGAGAGTAATCTGTCCCGCGTTGGTAGCCGTTTTTTGACAGCCAACCATGAGATAAATGCGTGTTTAGGAACCGAGCCAGTAAACCAGACGCTCTTGTGCCATGGAGCAATGTCAGTCGAGGAGAAGCAGTGAAGTAAATCCCAAGCCCTGGACGTACGGAATGACATCAATGAGGAATCAGAATAAGTGGATGACCAGTAATAGGTATCTACCGCATTCGAAGATCCAGATAATCCCAGCTGAAGAAGTTGGTTGTTGAGACTGACTTCCGCTTCACTCCGTGTAGGAGGTAGATGCCAGCTATCCGAAAAATAAACAGCACTCACAAGGGATTGGCGAGGGATGCCCAACTGTCGCGGACCGGATTCTCCTAGTTCAGTAATCAGTGGCCCCTGTGGGAGCTAAGAATCCAGCCAGAAGTGGCAGGAAGATCCGTTCCCCAATCGACACCTCAAGAATGTCCTAGCCTCTAATCTCAGTTTCAATAACTTCTTCCAAGACCAACTCCCTTTGCCCGTTGTCTTGAGATCCCAGAATGCTGGAAGATCCAAAGAATGCTAGAAGAACTGATGTCCTGCGACAGGAAAAACACAAACACCAGCAAAAGCACAAGGAATTCAAATTGCGAAACACTATAGAAATAGATCAGAACCCAGGGAACTGGTTGTATCAATGTGCAACTTACGGGCTTAGACCCAAGGCCAGGATGTAATGCTATAGTTGATAGTTCTTATATGTATTTTGTAGAACCATACAAAACTTTGCATACAAAGTTGAAACTACTGTTACAACTTGCAAATTTAATTTGTAGCCTATAGTTAAAATCGTTTTCTAAAAGAAACACTCAAAACAAAAAAAAAACAGATATGTTTCGAAAAAAAAGCGTGATAGGAGAATCAAAATCAAATTGGAGATAAGAAACATAAGAAAATGATCACTGTAATATATGAACTAATTAGTTGTGTTCTTTGTGTATGTATGTATTGGTATGCAAATTTGATCATGATGACTATGATGATGATGATACGTGCATATTAATTAAAGGTATCAAGACCTTTTTTTAACCCCAGTTAAGCTTCTACTATATCTCCTTCTCTCGATAGAAATATTTTGCATCTCATAAATGATATTTACAGGATTTGTGAGACTTATATATAAAACAAAATTAACGTTTTAACGGGGATTTCAAAACTGGTTTTCACATCGTAATATTATCATAACGTTATTGTAAGTATCCAAATTCAATTGTTTCAAGTCTATATGATATTTTTAAAAAGAAACCAATACATGTTTTATCTTTATTTATTTTTTAAGAAATATATTTGAAAAAATACTAAAAAATATTCAATTTTTAATTATATCATAATTTAATAAAATTAATATTATCGGACCACATATATTTAATTATTATACAAGATAAAATCAAAATTACTTAATAGATAAACTTAGGATAACATATTTATATTCGTAAAAAAAATGTATATATATCACTAACTTATTACAACATTTCAATGAAAACAAAGGGCATCAATTGATATTTTATAAACTATGATATTTGTCATAGCTAAATATATAAATATTTAGCATTATAAATAACATTTTATTTTAAATAAAGAAAATATATTTATATTTTCGTTTAATAGATTTATATTTACATATTGTTGATATTTCGGAGTAGATAATTACATGGTTTGTTTAGAGCATCATCTTTACATAATTTAGTTATGAATCTTCTAAATATGAAATATTCAATTTATAGTGTAGAAATTGATAGAATATTATTTTGTGATATTAATCTTTTGACCGTGGCCAAAAGAAGGTCGACAAAAAAAAGGACATAAATAGAGTGCAAATTTAAATATACAAAATGAGTTAGTTGAAATACTGATGAGATTATATAAATTTAGTATCCAATATTTGATTTTGAAATATTTATTAAGTTAAATATATTATTATTATTATTATGTTGTTAAGAACAACTAAATTTATATATATTGTTGTTTAAACCTATACTTTCCAAACTTTCGATACTCATATTTTTAAGATATCACTCGATTTGTTAGAAAAACTACTCTTTTTTTTATCGAATCATAAAATTTATTAAAAAATTATTATGATATTCCACATTCCAATCCTAAGCTAAATTGGAATGAAAAAAACAATTTTTTAATACAATACAAGTTTAATTAAATGAAAAGATCCAACTAAATTAGACCAAATTTATTTAAATTAAAGTAGATCGATTTCATACGATTGTTTAACCAACATGATTATGATAAAATATATATAATACACAGATATTATATAATGTTATTTTTTAATTTTTAAGATAAAAGTGACCAAATCTTAGGTCGTAAAAAAATTGACTTAATTTGTGGTAATACAAATGAAAGATATATCTATAAAATGTAAATACTAATGAGGATAAATAAATTTAGTATTTATAGCAATGTTTTATTGTGATATGTTTATTAAATTAAATATGGTATTATTGTATTTTAAAAAATGAATAAAATACGGATCCAGACGGATAAAAATTTGTGAAATATTTTACCAAGAAAAACACTTGACATGTGTAGATGTGGCTCATTTACATACAAATTTTATTGTACCAAGAAGAGAGATTTTATGAATAATTATATGAAATTTTTTAACATATAACCCAACTGAGAAGATTTAAATAGAAACTCGAAATGTAATTTGACAAATAAAAAAACAGTATCGGTATTATATCCCAACTATTGATTTTAATATTATAATATATGAAAACGTAAATATAAACGTTATACACAAATACTTTTTTTAAAAAAGATATTATTATCTTGATGTTTTCAAAATTGTTTATCATTTTAAATCATTTAAAGATATAAATTACAAATTTAAAAACAAAATATAATATATTTAACTTTAAAATTAATAAAAAAATTTAAAATTTATATGTATTTATAATTCGCGATACGATATTAGTACCAAGTTTATTTAAAAAAAGTGTTTTTGTGAGCTGCTATATAAGTAGTCCCAAAATTTTGACACATAACAGATAAATTGATTCAAATATTATTTTGTTTGGATTCTAATCCCTAATACACGAAACATCCGAATTCACGGGAAACTATAACTAAACGCTAGAAGTTTCATCTCGACCCATAAGCTGTGAAGAAAACGGCTCAGCCCATAAAGGGTTAAAAGGCCTTTCTTTTTTAATCCTTTTTTATATACTCAGAAAAAAATTATAAATAGGCATTCATCCCCTTGGGATCGTACTTTACCAAAAGCTCGTGAAACCCTAAGTCGGGTCGAAAAGTGCATCTAGGGTTTTCTCGTTCCGATTTCCCCCAAATCAGTTGTTGAGTTGGAGACGACGATGGAGCCTGAACACGACGTGATGGAGGCTCCCGCGGACGCTACTTTTTCATTTTTGGGAAAGCGCAAGGCGGAGACCCAAGGCCTGGATGAATCCGGTAGCAGCGGAGAAGGCGAGATCGAGAAAGGAGGCTCTTCATCTGCCGAAATCACGGAGGCGTCTGGATCTTCTTCTCCTACGGAAGCCATGGCGGAGGACTCTTCAGAGGACGATTCCAAGGAATGGGAATGGGGGTACGACAGCTTCGAGGGCCTCGAATACGAATCCCCTAGGGATAACGGGTTTTCCGACGACGAGTCTTATCAGAAATTCCGCAGATATATGAAGCAGTATTATACGTACAAGGTATTGAGTTTGCACTTGGAACTTGTTCTGTCTGAATGAACATCGCCTTTTTCTGGTCATATGGTTCTTTGAAAGCTTACAAACTTCAATCCGGAATACCTTATAGTGTGATTTGGTGTCTTCAATCCGGTAGATCCGTTTGAATTTACGTCTAAGTAAACTAAACTCGGCCTTGTAAGGTCTTGTAGATTGTACACAGTATAAGGTTATCTCCTCGGTCTTACCCGTTTCTATCCTTGTCTGGTTAGGGATTTTACATTGACCCAAAAAACATTCAACCGTGCCAAGTGGGAGGAATCGGAGCTTACAGTGATAAACATCTGGACAATCAGTACGTAGCACCGGGCAAAACCAAGCGTCAGCAAGTAGAAGAATTGGCCAAGGAGGCTTTGCAGAAATACAACCAGATTAATGTAAGTTCATATGCATAAAATTTTAGTCGTTTAACGTATCGTCCATTATTCTTTCTTGTTTTGTTTCTTGATTCGATGATGGTATCTTAGGGAACCAATGTGACATTTGAGAAATTGGTGAGGGTGAACATATCGTGGTCCACTATAACTAGAGTATACATCACTCTCTTGGTCAAGGAGAATCCCGATAAACCCGATGAACCTTCAGTGGAGTACCAAGCGAAGGTTCAAAAGAGGATTAGAGAAAAGTATCAACCTATCTTTTGCAGGCCAGCCCCCTTCCAAGTGAAAAGGTACTTTCTAAGTTTCCTGTTTGAAGTTTGAAATATAAAATCTGCAACTGAGAATCATTTGGAAAATATATAAAAATCCTATGGTATGTTTGAAACCTGTTGGTACGTCAACAACTCAACTCAGTTTAGCATGCTGACTAGTTCTTTCTAGTTGTTTTCTCTACACTCTCTCCCAATATTTTGTTGTCCCATGCACATAGGGTAATAGCAAAATGAGAACAGATAATTTCTTGAAATAAGTCGGCAGATTTTTGTTTTGTTTTCTTTTTTCATGGCTAAAGTCAAGCTTCTGCGCTCTGTCATTGAATGTTTGAGTGTCTGACTAATATGAACTTTGCCCGCACCTTAGACAATAAAGTCAGTTGTTGTCTTAGTCACTTTCTGCTCAAAGTATTGAAATTCTCGTGGGGAAGTATACGCTGGTAAATTTTTAAAGTTAATTTGGATGGATGAAGTATTTATTTATTTTAATTTTCAGAACTGCGGACTGATGTTGCGGTGCCATCAGGCGAGGCGGAGTTCACGACAGTCGTATGTTTCTATTCTTTCACGTGTTTAAGCTGCGTATGTAGTTTTGGACTTGGACATCTGCATGCGCATATGCGTTTGGTATGTCTTTATTAGGGAACGAAAATGTCTTGAATGCACTGGTATTTGTATGACGGATTTATTGAGGACACTCCATTGTGTCTTTTATATTAGGGAAAG